AATTGCAGTATGGTTCTTGAATTCGTTCGTTTTTGGAATTATTGTTGTTCACTAATTCTAGAGCGACCTTCACAACCGCGACTGATATTTATGTGTGACCTTGGGCCTACTGCATTGTGGCAAATGTCCGATGACTGGGAAAACTTCAGATGGAAAGTAACAGAGCCTGCCCACATTTCATTTACATCCATTGGTCACGCAACGTGAAAAATGAATTTAGGAGACAGACGTACATCATGAAGCTGTGAGAAAAACAACACTGGTTGCGAAAGCTGGAGAAGTGTTAGGTTAGCGGAATACACTCATTTGCAAACTAATTTGTTTTTTTCGAGAGATTCACCTGAAAGCCAGCTGAATCTCTCTTTTGTGATGTTTCCAGGCAACTGAATGTGCTGCATCAGGCCGCCTCATGTTCGAGGTATCGTGATACATGCATATTTGTAATGCAATAACTTCGTGCAATTTGGTTTCAAGTAGAACATGAGGTTGACGGAAACGCGGGGATGGCGCCTACCTGATGAGCCCCAAGAAGGGCGAAACAGGTCGTGGGCTGTCGACGAATTTTCGACGAATTTCGACTAGTGAATTACAAATAAGTGTTAGGTTGGTTTTGAGACTTGGCATTATTTTATGAGCAATACTTCCTGAGCACACAAAGCCAGCCCTTTATGATTGATCAGTGTTACTTCAATAGACGTTTTCAATCTGGGTTCGAATATCGTGACAAGACCAAGAGTGAACTGTGAGCGTCACATAGATTGTCTGTTTTAACAAGATGTCGAGTGAGTGATGAGCCCGGAATCAGTGTGACTTACCGGATAAAACAACCGATTGGTTCGATAAATAGGCTCTTTTGCATACCAATTTATTTTTCATGAGAGACCTACATTCAGTTAAAGAACATCATAAACAAATTTGCATGCAAATGGTTGTCTCGATCGAATTTCGTGCAATTAAATTTCAAGTAGAACATATGGTTGACGTGGACTTTGCTTACTTAATATGCCCCAAGAACGGTGAAACCGGTGGTAACCCGTCAAGTAGCTGATTTATGTTCCATGAACACTGTACACTTCGGACTATCCATGATCCTTCGATCCAAGTGGTTAACCGCTGCATATCTAGTGCCTAATTGGTCTTGTCGTACTTTATTCAAATGTCAAATCCACGTCCTCCAATTTCAGTGGCCGGCTTCAGCTAGTTCAGTCGCAATGATACATAGCACAGTGCACTTACGAATAAGGGCAAAATCTTGGTCTTCGCGGAAGTTTGACTTAGTGCACCAGAAGTCAAACTCAGCGACAACGCTCGTTGGTCAGGTGTTTTAGGACTAGTCGATCGCTCATTGAGGAAATGCACTGTAGCTATTTTCAGAATCTGGAGATCCGGTTGCCACCTGTCTTCATACTCTCGTTATGGAATGACTTCGTTTACAAACCACCCCCCCCCCTAAATAAAAGACTCCTGGTTCCTGGCAGGATGTTTATCCCCGTCGACCTTCTTGGCAAGGCTAAATCCCAAGAAGCTGAATGCCATAAACTGAGTTCACATTACTGTTGTATCAAAAACAGTGGTTTCTGGTGCGTTTCAAACCACACCTCTGATTACATCAACATGGTTCCTCAGAATTGGTCTGTTGTGAGCTTATTCCGCAGGATTAGAACCCAACATGTTACTCTTACTGTAGACCATGTACTTGGTGCGTGGTACAATTCGCACTACATAACCGGGAGGGCATTGCCTATGGCCAAGTTAACTTAAATAGTCTCGTCTAGTGACACTAAAAAAGCTAAAGAAACGGCACAGAGGAGCTAGTAAAATTTCATATTTCACCAGTGCCGAGAGATTGTACTATAGTTTGCCCAGTATCCAAGTAGACAGGAAGGAACGTTACACGCATACCACTAAAAACGCCTATTGCGTGGTCTAGTGTTTTTTAAAGATCTATAGTGACATTGTTGTAGTTTGGAAAAGTGCTGATTCACCTTCAGAAATCGACAGATTTATCTCATTCTAATAAGGTTTTCCCACAAAAGCCACATAATTGCTAATTTCTTGAATATTTAGATACTGATTAAGTACAGAAGATGATTTTGTTTTTTCTCTCGTTTCCTATCTCACTTTATCTGTCATAAACACAAAGGTCGTTTGGAGCCCGGATTTTCCTTATCAAAACAAAATTTGACAGCGCTGATTTTTGGTTGTCTGCAGGAAGTAAAAAAATGACACCAATCAGTGCGGATAAAATCTCTAGTTTGGTTGTAAGCAGACTTGGTAACTTTGGTTGTTTATGTCTGATGCGGGGCAAGCTCCTCGAATTTGTGCAGTTGGGTCCTGTAGTTTTCCACTTAATTGTAGGTCTACCTAGAAAGAAGAGAAAAGGTTGAGACAGGATACAACGTTACCCAGTTTCATCTGCGATTGTCCTGTTGATACTGAGTGAAATGATATTCATTCTTCATCTTGTAACTATCCACTCAAGCTGACATTCTCAACAGAAGAATCACTAAGGCTACGCAAGGCGCAAAACTAGTCAAAAACAAAGTATAGAACACTGCATTCAAGAAGCGATAACATGCTGGAATTTCGGATGCCTTCTGAAGACAGCATTGGCAACTAATATTTAGCAGACGTTGGGACATGATTGGGTGTTTGGAGCACTTGTTCGTCCAGTCAGAGCTCGTCGTGATGCAGCACTGACCCGTGGCACGTGACAAGTCATGTACCGTTCGGCCTCCTGATTGCAAGTGGTAAGGTTTGACGTAAGGTTCTTTGTAACAATCCGAAAGCCCGTCGGGTTCTCCGTCACTGTACATGTCCGAGGGAGGGCTGTATTCGTTGATACCATTGTGGGCTACTAAGAGCTCCTTCAGACATTTGATTAACCTATTATCGCTTGGGCTCATACAGCCCTATGGAGACTTCATGAGTTATATATACGTTGCTCCCTGAAATATACCTCTGCTTATGCCACTAAAAGATGACTTCCTTTCCCATTGATCCAATGTGACCCATCGGCTTCCTGTTATTTACATAATTGGCAGATTCTGGAAACCACAAATATTGTTAAACCAATGATAATGACTTATCGTTAATATCCTTGGTCTTTTAGTTCCCTTAAAATTAAAGTAAAGATCAAATGAGCAACATTTCCGTTCTGGTAAATGTGCTGAAAAAAGTACCAGATATGTAAAATGTGAGCATACAAGTTACAACAAACAATGCGCGGTGGCCATCGGTAAAAGTGTTAGAAAATGGCCCCTTCAAATGACAGGATGTTGTGGACGGCTTGTAGAGTCAGGAATTCCTGTGGGTGCACAACCGCTTTGGTCGCTGCTCTAAGGAGACTACTATGGCGATTTGTGTACTCCTGTGACCCATGGGGCGATACTACAAGGTTTCATGGAGTTCTCATTCACTTTCCGTTAGAAATAGATAGAGGAACGCTTCCCGGACAACTTTATGAAGATCAACCTCGCGGTTTCAACCAAAGAAACCACATATTAAACAAGATAGAAGCAAGAACGACTTCAGCTAAGGTGTTTGACGTCAAGTCATGTTGGCATTCGGGCTGCAAGCAGAGATGTATTGGAATGATGCGAATGTCATAGTGCAAACCAACGCAACCTCGTTTGCCTTCTTTGTTAACTTCTTAGTTACAATTAATCTGAACAAACAGATTAATATGCTTTTGCGCTTAGCCCGGTTTTTGTAATCCAAGACGCACATGATACAGCACCAAGTCCGTACTACCTGGCGGACCAATGTGCACAGGCGCTTCACTAAATTATGTTGAACGTAATAGTGCTTCGTCCTGAATTTTGTTTTAATCCATTCAAACTTTCCAAACTTGGTTCCAGTTTATGAAGTGATCCGGTGTCACGTGTTTTACATTTCCTGTACCTGCTCTCTACATGTGCTTTACGTTCGAGTTGATGGCGGCATACAGCCAGCTGGAAAATCATCAGATTATTTGAAATCCGGTAGTTTTCGAAAGTGTAGTGTTTGCTTCAAGTCTTGCTGCTTATGCACAAGAAACCTAGGGAGAACACAAGGTTGACGAAAACTCAGGAACTGTACCTGCCTGATGAGCTCCAAGAAGAGTGAAACCGGTCGTGGGCTGCTGAAGAATATTCATTAAACTTATGAGTAGTCCCATTTAAAAACCTTACTTAATTTCAGCCCTCAGAGCCACCAACGTGCTTTAGTTAGAAACTAGCACAATATTCGCACAGAAACGTGTCTCTGTTTTTGACGACCTTTGTATTAATTTGGATCTCGTACATCTCCATTGATGAATAGGATGAAAGCTATTTGAGGCTTCTGTTATTTTGGGATGGTCTCATGACTGTATACACAAAGTGACCTGTTAGAGTTTGCGTTAGTAAGAATTCTTATCGTTATATGACGCGATGCGATGCTGACCAACAAATAACCCATCAAAATTACGTTTGATGTCTAACCAACAGACTTACGATTAATGAATGTAGCAGGTTCACCAGTATAACTTAACGATAACACATGGCTCCCTCTGGATGGTTTTTCGATGGGTACTGTTTACACATTGCGGTGATCCGAAGGCGAAGTGCGCCAATTATTGGATGTACTGTGTTCAAACTCGAAGAGTTTGCATAAATAAACTGGGTAGTCTGCTAGAGAACCGGTGAGGCCTTTATGAATGTCCTAAGCGCACCAGTACCTTAGCGACTACTGCTCGCAAAAAATCCAATTGACTAACTACCGCAACAATAAGGCAGTTTACTTAGTTTCGAAGGGAGTTGAGAGACTGACGGAATATCTGGTCATTCTGGTGATGGCAGCCACAGACATTACCTAGCTCTTTCAAGGTCAGTCACATTTGCACCAATCAGTTCTGAACGTTTCGTTCTGATCGATGTCTCCCGATGGTTGTTCAGTGGCGCAGTAATTGGTCCGTGTTCATGTCGCACCACGAAATAAGAGACGGATTTGGATTGATGCTGTTAGTCTAAACGCTCATCATGGCGAATGCAAAAGAAATTACTGAAAGTCTGTTGCAATTCACTTCCAGTTTATACAGTAAAGCCATTTTGCAACAGTCAAGTAAGTAACAGCATGGATTTACCCTTTACTTGTAGGCGATTTACAAAACACTTTCATGTCCCCGTTGAGCATTTACATTGCTTGTGCAATGACCATGGCTGGCGCAAGCGATACCACGCTACAAGAAATGTGGCACACATTGCATGTTCCTGATGCCCTAAGAAGTAATGAGTTCCACGAATCAATTGGCCAGCACCTGCTGAAACAGATTGCGAGTTCACCAGATGTTGAGGTGTCTTTGGCTAATCGGTTGTTCACCCTGAACAATGTGAGCATTCTGGATGATTTCAAGCACACATTGAGTAACGACTACTGCTCGGATTTGGAAAGTGTATGTTCTGCGCATACGAGCGCGTTCCCATTGACATATCTTTCCCAAAGATTGCCGACCTTGAAACTGTGGAAGATAAAAGGCATCGTATCAATCAGTGGGTTGCGCTAGTCACAAGAAGTAAGATACCGGAGCTTATCGCTCCCGGAGGATTGGCAGAGGATGCTGTATTGACCATCGTGAACGCTTTGTACTTCCGAGGTTTGTCTGAAGTTTTCTCATTATTTTGAAAACTTTGTATTTAGGTATGTGGGAAGAGTCTTTTCCAAAAGAAGCTACATTCCAGTCTAAATTTTACTGTCTTGATGGAACCACAATCGATGTCCTGATGATGTACAATCATCAATCGTACCGGTTGACGGAGATCACTGATCTGGACGCGAAGGCAATCAAGCTCTCATTTAACGGCGAACGGTACGTTATTCTGGCCAGAGTATCCCTATTTAGTACCCTAAATGAAATACAGTAACATCCTCAAAGGAGAATAGGTTCTATCACTCCGGCATTCGCTTTATATGACAACTTAGATGTGGCACGACACGGATTCATGTGAGTTTTGCTTGTACTTCTCGATGATACTCATGATCACTAACGAGATCCGTCAACCAGGGGAAACAGGGGCTGGTTAAATGTGCTTCTCTTTCAGGTAGAACCACATCTAGACCACAGGTAGTAATAAGGTCATTTCGGAAATAGCTGTGCATCCAAACCAAACTCTATCACTGTGTATATCCGCAGGAGGTCGATCTTTTCAAGTATTACCATTTTCTTGCACCATTTACGAATTAGCAACGTTGAAATATCATCCGACTTTCAAATGACTAGGTGAGATTTGGAGAAGCTGGAACGTGACTTAAATGGAACCAAATAAATACCCTTACCAGTCTCAGAGAATGGGTTGAGCAGATGCTACTCAACTACGTGGCTGAAAGTTAATAAGCATGCCTTCCGCCTGTGTTAATCGTCGATTTTAAAGAAACACGGACTGATGATGTCACTTGGCTGCTGAAATAGTTCACCGTGAGAAAAGAGTTAGTTCATATTGCCAAGGTGGATGAGATAAAATTTATAAGCATGGCAAATTTTAGGTCTCTAGACTTCCTACGACCATATACTTAGCAGTTGAACATTCGTTTTTCCAACGACCAGAAAGCTAGAGAAAACCGTTGTGCTTCCAATTACGTTCAAACAATGAATGCCGTACTATAGAGTAAAAATCGAGAAGTAGTCTACCAGTTCTCGAAACGTTTGCGAAATCACCGTTATTAGCATGGCTTCCAAGTCGGATACGTGATTCTGCTACCCAAGGTTGCGAACCCATGTGTGTGTGTGTTTGGTTACCTGCATATTGGTATGATCGGCTTAGATCAAAGCTCATGGTGACGTACTTCTATGCTGACAAATAAGTAGTATCCTCAGTTGGCGTAGCTGATCTCCATAGACGGCATCCACACGATTCTTAAATTCACGTTAAATTAGCGGGAAACTGCTGACTAGGCCAGGCCAATTTTTGCTTTTTCACGTTCCGAGTCCCGAAATTTCAGATGGAAAATGCTGATTCTTCTACCAAATCAGCGAGATGGACTCCAAAAACTGCTCAACGGACTTCAGCAACCCGGAAAGTTTGCTTCAGTCCTTGCAGAGTCTTTCGTGGAGGAAAAAGCTGAGGTTTACCTCCCCCGATTCAAATTGGCCGATTGTCCCCCACTGGATGTCAAAAAGTTGTTGCAAAATTGTGGTATCCGACGTCTCTTCGATCGAGAAGCAGACTTATCTAAGATCTGCGCAGACAAAAAGTTATTCATTAGCGATGTGATGCACAAAGCCGTATTAGAGGTGAGGTTCCAGCAAGCCGCTTTCCTTTTCTTCTATGCCCAAGTGCTGCTATCTCATAAATCGCCAACACATCAGTTTTCCCTCTCTATGTGGTAAGCTTCCACGGGTAGTTTGCTGGATTCATGGCACTTCCATGTGGATCCGAAACTATGTAATCTCAGCATCTACGTCGTTTGCGATTCTCATCACAGTATACAACCTTCAACATGAAGTTCGTAACTCTTTCTATAAGTTTGCCGAATGCGCACCGACTCTATAAGCGACAGATTCGGCTGGATTCAGTTGAATCTCTCGTCAAACCAAATTTCTGTACACAGCTGCAGCCTGCTTTGCGTAGACTAGTATGGTATGCAATGGCATTATTTGAATTACATACTTATAAACTTTCTGCCCTTTGCTTAACCGACTGTAGCGAACTGAATCCAGTTGAAATCAGCTTGATAAAGAATGGAAAAGGGGGTCACTGCTACTGTTATGGTGTTGGATCACTAACAGATGTGCTAGATGTAGCACGAACAACGTTGGTGTCTGGTTTACCGCTCATCCTCAGTTACTGTTGCTGCACCAGTCAGATTCCCTCAAACCGTGATTTTCATGTAAACTTTAATACTCCAGTAACTAAACCAGTAGTCCAGTTGTGTATACAGAAGGTAAAAGAGCAAAAAATTGTCCTGGCTAACGAGAAAAACCTATACTTAGCCAAGATATTGAGATTTGCCAACGATACTGTAATAGTAACATTGTCGACATCTTTCGCTTCAGTCAAACAGAAGCCAGAAGAACATGTATGCAGTTGGAATAAACTCTACCAAGTGTTTGGCTTTATCTTTACCAGGGAAGGTGTTTTTAAAATTCATAGCCTACCTCTGTTTCTCTACATGCTTCTCTGGATAAGGTGACAACCAGCTTGTTTACATGTGATGCTACATCTGACCACCAATCAATGTATGCAGCATTTTTCAGTCTGTTTAGTGGAATTGTCTGAAAGTAAGTTTAGGTACTTGTACATGGTCTTCTTTCAATAAAACTGCGTCCAAATATTGTTCAATATGGGGATGTCACCATGTATCTTTGGTGTTCTGAAACTGAAAAATATAATGTCTAAGTTAAAAAAAACCAGGCAGGATGAGACGTAACCCCTGTATCACAGCCTTATACCACGTTTTTTCCACATCAAATGGACTTTTGTCAGCCAGCCACAAAGGTATTTTGCCTCCATCAAGTTAGGCCGTTTGACTGAGGTCATGTGTACCGTATAGGGACACCTGATATGAGATGCTAGATCGTGTGATATAGCTTCGATGCATTAAAATTTCGAATTTCGTCCGTCCTAGGTGGATGAAGAGGGAGCTACGGCAGCTGCGGCCACTGGAATGGTGGCTGTAGCAATGTGTTACATGCCAACTCCGGTTATTCAGGTTGATCATCCATTTTTCCTGGCTATTTTGGGCGAGTCTGATGTGCCTGCTTTCATTGGGCATGTTGTGAGACCCGAAGTCGATTGCACAAGCTGAAAATAGAATTTATTTTCAGAACGCTGACATTTTCTGAACTTGAACAGGCTGTGAATTGTCTTTTTCTTACTTGTGATAGTTATGAAAGTTTTTTGTTGTTGTTATATACTAAATAAAATGTCATCAGTGACTTGTCTGTTCATTCTGATGCATGCGTTAGGTGAATAGCACAGTTTTCTCCTCTTTCACTTGCCAATACTGGTTAAAAAACCATGCTGTTACATCTACGTATAGCCTGAACAGTCCAAAACAACATAAGGTCGGGGTAATGAGCTCATAAAGGACAACAGCTTTCTACCACCAGCGCTTTATATTGCACCGTTCTCGTAGCTTAAATATACCTAGCAAACTTGTTTCTTTCCATCAGCTGTTTTTAATCCACATTAGGAATCGTTGGAAGTGAGAATCTCTCGAAACTCCAGGAATTATAGAACCTGCAAACCCTGGCTAATTGTTTGAACACTTCACCATCGGACCACGACCGACTGATCCACATTGTGAGTAACTCGTAATAAGACAGGGCAAAGCGCTATTCATTGTTCCAATAAGGACAGAAACAACTGTACGGTGCTTGACGATTTTTCAGTGTAGATTGGACTTGCAGGATTGCTGTGAGTGAGTTGTAGAACAATTTGTCTATTCACCAACGCGTTCGTAATCTCACGTGGTAGCATCAGCTTTGGATAACTATTGCAAAAGTGATTTCTTGAAGTTATCTAACTCCACGGATGGAAATTGCATTGTAGAACAAACCACCAAGTGGTTGCTGCTTATGCAGGATGGCCACCTTTCGGTGATAGTCATCATAATGACTGAATCACGATACACCTGTGATGACTGAGAATTGACGTGAACAAAAAACCACATTTGAAAGCTTTAGATTTGCGGGCAGTCTTTTGGAGGATAACTGGGAAAAATTGTGTTGCAGCTAAGCCGTCATTACTGGATACTTTGCTGTAATCCCTACACAAATTAATTTCCACTGTGCTGAAAAGAGAGTAAATCTTTCACAGCGATGGCCGACGGGACTTGAGAAACCGGGTCACCAACTGCTTCACTATTTTGGAAAGATGTTTCGTCAAAGCATACAAACACTTTGGCCATTCCAATTATTTTGAAATTAAATTCAACAAAGGACATAGTTTCTACATCAACGCTTACTCTTTGTGAAATGCGATTGGAGTTACTGCTGACTTTGCTTTCTTCTGCGTAATATTTATCGCTCTGACCAGTGAAGTCATTACAACTTTGCAATCATAATGGCTTTTGAGTCTGAGAGAACGCAGGTCGAGCCGAATTTCACTCGGAACGTTCTGTCTGATAGTAACGCCCTAATTCGGCGTGGAATTGACTCTTGAATCTCTTAAGACTCGAGTTTGTGGAGCAGCGGGACGCGTGATGCTTGGTCGCTTTTGAGAAGTAAAAAACACGGCATCCGATATTATTCTCCCATCCTTAGCTTGGGTTAGGCTGTCCAGAGATACGAGCATGTTTGTCACGCAAGAAGTATTTTTGGTAGGAATCCCTGTTGCACTGGGGATATTATGCTGTTGGTAGTAAGGTGATCTAGAATGGCTCACTTCAGAATGCGATCCATCACCATGCATGGCACGCTAGTGAGGCTAATAGGCCTGTAGCTGCCGGGCGACAGGCAGTCACAAGTTTCGTCGATTGGCGTCACAATCGCTTCCTTCAAAGCGCAGCGACTGACGAAGCAACAGGTAGAAGTGCTTTGCCAGTGTAAACGACGTTTCCTTCGGAATCCTTAGATGTACCTCCTCTGGCCCCAACGCGCTGTTGGGGGTTATCTTATGCAATAGTTGATGAACGTCCTCCCCAGTTAAGGCCGCATCGGTTAGAGGTCGTTTGTTTTGACGTCTTGATAAGATTGGATGTGACGAGGTCACCGAGGCAGAATACATGCCTGCACAGTGTTTTAGTAGACCTAAGATACTACTATTAGATCACTCGTGGGTTCCTTGTTTCTGTCCTTCAAAGAAACGTGGTTGACTTGTTTCTGCAGGCAATGTCTCATGTACTCGAACAGCACACTTTTGTTTTTACGGGCGAGGTCCAGAATGGTGACTTGTTTTCGTACGATCCGTTGGCGAATTTCCGATTTACAGCAGTTCGGCATTTTACGAGACACCAGCTCATCTGTGTCTACTGTTGTCAACTATTTGAAAGTAATTCCAGAAGACGCCTTGTGGAGCAGCGGGACGCGTGATGCTTGGTCGCTTTTGAGAAGTAAAAAACACGGCATCCGATATTATTCTCCCATCCTTAGCTTGGGTTAGGCTGTCCAGAGATACGAGCATGTTTGTCACGCAAGAAGTATTTTTGGTAGGAATCCCTGTTGCACTGGGGATATTATGCTGTTGGTAGTAAGGTGATCTAGAATGGCTCACTTCAGAATGCGATCCATCACCATGCATGGCACGCTAGCTAGTGAGGCAGGCCTGTAGCTGCCGGGCGACAGGCAGTCACAAGTTTCGTCGATTGGCGTCACAATCGCTTCCTTCAAAGCGCAGCGACTGACGAAGCAACAGGTAGAAGTGCTTTGCCAGTGTAAACGACGTTTCCTTCGGAATCCTTAGATGTACCTCCTCTGGCCCCAACGCGCTGTTGGGGGTTATCTTATGCAATAGTTGATGAACGTCCTCCCCAGTTAAGGCCGCATCGGTTAGAGGTCGTTTGTTTTGACGTCTTGATAAGATTGGATGTGACGAGGTCACCGAGGCAGAATACATGCCTGCACAGTGTTTTAGTAGACCTAAGATACTACTATTAGATCACTCGTGGGTTCCTTGTTTCTGTCCTTCAAAGAAACGTGGTTGACTTGTTTCTGCAGGCAATGTCTCATGTACTCGAACAGCACACTTTTGTTTTTACGGGCGAGGTCCAGAATGGTGACTTGTTTTCGTACGATCCGTTGGCGAATTTCCGATTTACAGCAGTTCGGCATTTTACGAGACACCAGCTCATCTGTGTCTACTGTTGTCAACTATTTGAAAGTAATTCCAGAAGACGCCAAATTCTTCCAGGTAGCGTGCGGTCCATCGGACTGCGTGCTGGTTTTTTTGGGACGACCATCGCCTCAGCTTCGAGAACCTTCCGGACAATGGTCCTGTATAATTCCTCAGCTGAAGCTGGTCCCAGCTTAGAATAATCAAGAAAGGTGCAAGTAAAGCTGCAATGCGGCCAGTCCGTTAGATTTTCTTGGCCAAACTGCATACGATAGTTTCGATAGGAAGCACCAGCTAATCTTGTTTAAATGGTCCTTTCTTATCTCCACTAATGCAGTTTACTGGGAATAGCATCTGTTTCTATTCCCAAAAATTTGCACCATCATTCTGAACGGCGGTCACTAATAATTTGCTAATTCCAAAGATTGAGAAAATAAGTAAAGCGAATTCGACCCAAACAAGGCGCATACATAGTGGACGTGCATGTCCAATCAACCTTAAAGGCTTTCTTGGTGGCTGTCTCAGTTTGGCATGAAAGTATAATTCATCATAATGAACTTGAAAATTGTTGCCACCTTCTGAGCCACCTGAATGCGCCGGATCAACTCGATGTTACCAGACACTAGTGCTCTAGTTCTAAGTGTGATTTCACTGAAAGCCGAATGACCGAATGACCATCTAATTAGAGATAAGGATCGATGTCCAACACTGCATTCCAAACGATGGTGAGAAAGAACTGCATATTGTTTGGTAAACGCCACACGTTGACAGGGAAGATAACTGGTTTACGTCTCGTTCGCCATCAGTAACTGGATTTTGTTCCGTCAGCTGAGGCTCTACAGCCGGCGAAGGCGCATATTCCCATAAGAATGATACACACTTCGGCAAGCTGGATGCTGTAAACTGAGAGCATTCAGGGTTAGAAAGTGTTCTAATAGTTGCTATCAAAAGGGTGGCACAGAATCATCGGTCGAACTTCGTTCCATAGACACATTTAAAGCATTACAAAAGGGGATCACTCAATTTTTGATAAACACCTCAAAACAACAATAAAGAAATATTGCGATTATCATCTTTTGGTTGGTTAAGCCAGTGTCCTGCTTGTTCAATTCGTATATCTAAAATTTTTGTTCATTCTCAAAAATATGGTCGGACTCCAGGTTTCCAGCTCAGTGTGGACGCAAATGAGCTTGTGTCATTCTCTTTTAGCCAGACTCTGAGTAGAATCAACTAATCGTTGACTTGTGTAAGACAATGTGGGTATGACATTTTCACTGTGCATTACTCACTCAAGACTATGCCAGAATCTACGGTGGTGTCAAAAATAGTCTTCACAAGGACATTTTATCCAGGAATGTTCCGAAGCACTGCTCACTAATCTAACACGCCTGACTTTGTAGCGAATCCCTTACAATTTTAAGTTTTGTTCTAACGTTTTTGACTGTGGAGTTTGTCTTGGATCCTGAGTCGAAATTCGGAGACAGCCTGGGGCAATCATGGTGGAGATTACTCCCTTCAGAGATAGGTCTAATTGGTCTGGTATCCTTAAGCATTTAGCCCTGCGATGGCTTAAATATCTCTATTTTTCTGGTACCTTCTGTTTTGGCATTGTTGCATGTTGTGCAACGAAAGTACCCTGTTCCATTAGGACCAAACCGCTGGAGCCTCTAGTGACCTTCATTTTAGATGCACACACCTTGAATCCAGCAGATTTTTACAAATTACCACGTGGAAAATTTCCCGATTACCTTATCGATATTGTGACCGTGCGTAAACATCATGAAAATGTGACGTTCGTTATGTCTGTTCAAAAATTAGTGCTCAGTGTCAGTTACTCAACCATTGTGGCGTGCGTCCGTAATCACGACCAATACACGACATCGTCTATTCGCGTAGACTTAGCACCCAATCGATGCAAACCTGGAGTTATTAATGGTTGTTTCGAACGTCTTTTGAGATCAGTCAGTGTCAGTTACTCAACCATTGTGGCGTGCGTCCGTAATCACGACCAATACACGACATCGTCTATTCGCGTAGACTTAGCACCCAATCGATGCAAAC